CTGGGGTCATTTGACCCCAGTACTCTTTCCTGCCATGGCAGAGGGTCGGACTCGATGATCTGCTCAGGTCCCTTCCGACCCTAGAAACTATGAAACTATCTATGCTAGGAAAAGTGTCTAGATATTTTTCTGAATCAGTGGGTTCAGCTTGATTCAGATACTAATATAAGGGGACAGCCAGCATTTATACATGGTATCAATTTCACTTGAACACTAGGGCTAGATAACATTGTTTGGAATTTCAGTTGCAACCTGTCTACATTTGGGTTTGTTCTCTTGTGACTACTGCCAGAGCTGAATAAAACTGTCAGTGAGGCAACACATAAAAAAAAAAGTCCTTCTTCTTAGTTTTTTTCTGTACCATCAGTTGTAGACAGTTGTAAATGCACTCACCAGGGACCTGTTTCATACTTGTATTTCACAGTTTCAGGGTCTGTAAATATGTGACCTGTAATAAAGATGAAGGTAAAAATATAGATATAATTCAGAATATATACAATTCAAAATATATCACTTAAAAATATATAATTTAGGCTTTTCAAGTAGTATTGAAAAATCCATTGCTGATTTGTTTGAAGGAAAGTATCTTAAAAATCACTCCACAAGAAAAAAGTCTCACTTACTGCATGTTTCAGATAGCATGCTGAAAATGACAGCCACCATAGTTTTCACTTGCCAGACACCAAAGTCCTCCTCTGTTTCATCTGTTCCTAAGCTTAGGTCTATGCAGATGGTTAAAGAAAATTAGATTTTCACAATTATTTGCAACAAGTTGTAAGGCTTTGCTATTATCAACACAGAACTAGAATCCAATGGTCCTAATCCATGTGGGTACTAATGATGCAGCCAGGAGAAGCCCTGATCACCTGATGGTGGATTACCAAGCTCTGGGGGGCATGCTGAAGAAGATAGGTGTACAAGTGGTATTTTCTTCTGTTCTACCAGTGAGCAGACGTGGAAGATGGCATGAGACGTGCATCGCAGAGACCAACTGGCAGCTTCGGAAATGGTGTCTTGAGGCGGGCTTTGGCTTCCTTGACAACGACCCGCACATCACGATGAGAGACATGCTCGGGTGGGATGGGCTCCACCTTTCCCCTAAAGGCAAGCGTGTGTTCTCTTCTAGGTTGGCTGATCTCCTCTGGCAGGCTTTAAACTAGGCTCGTCGGGGGAAGGGGAAGATGAGGGAGGAGGAAGACTTGGACTGCTAAACCAGGTAGCACTCACAAGTACAGCCCAGCCTAGACCGACAAGTGAAACATATACAGAGGTAAGCAACAGGGGCCAGGGCAATGCTGCCATTAGGGGGCCAGTGCACATATCCACAGGAGGTCTCAAATGCCTC